CACAACCACCACTTCCACGGCCAGCGTCCTTTCGACCAAGAGCAGCTGTTGGACCGTATCATCCTCATGGCCAACGGGTCTTTCCTCCATGTCACTTTGACTTGCGAGTTGCTCAACACACAGAAGTCGCCGGATGCTTTGATCAAGACTTTGGAGAGCTTTGAGTCGTCGAAGCCGTCTGTGCAGGACCTTACACTCAAGCTTTTCAATGCTCTCAACCCGACCAACGATGCAAAGACCTTGCTATCATGGGTCTTGGCTGCTGAGCGACCGCTCACAATTGACGAGATCAACACCTTGTTCTCAGTCGACGTGCAGCGCAGCACTGTAACTGATAAAGGTGTCAACACGAACGAGATCTTTAGGACGCTTGAGCCGCTGTTCACTCTGCATCAACGCATTGTTCGTTTCAAGCACCCTGTCATTCACTCCACCCTTCATGACTTCTCTGCCAACGGAAAGATCCCCATTCCTTTGAAGGATAGTGAGACAGACATGCTTCTCAGGGTTCTTGCTTACACCAAGCACACCCTGAAGGACCACAACACCGAGCCAACTTTCGATACTTTCGACCCTACCACTCCCGACAGGCTGTTCAGGAGGCATCCTTTCCTTGAGTACGCAGTACGGTACTGGGTTCTGCATCTTCAGCAGTCTCCATTGGCTCCCAAGTCTACTGGCGAGTTCAAGCCTACGGCCGAGCTCCAGAAGGTATTCCCCAACAGCACCATGTTCCCCATTTTGGAGTCGTACTGCTGGGATACTCAACTTCCTATCCCCGAGGCTTTGGACCTGCAAAAACTTGTGGTAGTCCTCCGCAAGAGCACCCTCCCAGAAAATCACCCTGGTCTTCTTCAGACGTACCTGTCAATCGCCACGAGCTACCTGCTCATCTCCAACATCCCGGAAGCGACCAAGTACCTCTACCTGTGTACCTTCGTCAGCCGAAAGGTCTTGTCTGACATGCACCCGTTGACTCTGGAGTGTGCTAGTCAGTTCTTGAAGATCACTGAGACCCAGACTACCACCACGAGGACTGAGATCATGACCCATCGTGAGGAGATCCTCAAGGTTCTAATCACGACTTATGAGCGCCAGTACGGAAGCACTTCTGAGTTGGTCATCGAGACCCGCAAGCTTCTCGCGCAGCTCTACGCGACCATCAACGAAGAGGAAAAGTCTATCGAGATCTATCGCCTCATCCAGGACGCGACCATCCAGCTTTACGGTAGGGACTCACATCAGGCCCATGACATCAATGATCACCTCAAGGTCACTCTTGGAAAGGATACAGGCGATCGCGAGCTTGAGATATACGACGACTTCTCTTTCGAACATGACCAAGACGAAGAGGAGAGTATCGAAGCTCTCACCATCTCCACTATCAACGCTCAGTTGATTCAGATCCAGAAGCTTCTCTCAATGAAGAGGTTTGCGGAGGCTGAAAGGATGTACGTCGAGCTTTGGATGGAAGTCTCATCCAAGTGCCGCACCGTCCAATCTGTGGAATGGCATGAGAAGAACATCGAGATCGCCACCTCGTATGCTCAGTTCTTGAAGAACCAGAAGCGCACCAGCGAGTCTACCGCCATCTTGTCATCAGTCTGGCAACAGTACGAGTCGCACCAGCTGTCCTTCGCGAACAGCATCGTGTCGCGTCTTCTTACTGTTGGCAAAGAGATGAGGAGCATGAACGCCCACTCTCAAGCGCTCTCAATCTTCAAGTTCGCTAACTCATACCACAAGAACATGAGCTCTCAGGAGACTAGCGAGTCTCGCGAGGTCAGCCAGCAATTGTCTGAGACTTCGAAGGAGCTCGTGCAACACAGCCTGAACAGCACCGGAACTACTACTACCACTACTGTATCGGAGTCTGTATACCAAGATGTATTCTTCTCGACCATCGCAAGCTCCAAGACAGTCGAGGCAAGCACTATGTCGCTAGCTAAGCAGCTTGTCACTCAACATATGTCGAAGAAGAACTACACCGCTGCCATCAACGTCATTCACGCGACTCTGCAGCGCACTTGGTCTTCGTTCCTTGCCAATTCCATCCATGACGTCACAATGGCGACTGTGTTCACTCAAGAGTCGATTGAGCTCGTCGAGCGTCTCGCTGAGTGCTACTTGCAGACGCGCCAGCTGGACAAAGTCGACGATGTGTACAACCGCTTCTTCCGCGCGGTCTTGGTCACTGAGAAGGTTGACAAGGCCACATTCGAGAGGTCGAAGAACCTGCTGATCAACTTCTACGACAAGCACGGCTACGCAGACAAGGCTATCAGCACCTACCAGGAGATCTTGGTCGTGTACCGCGCACGTCTCGGACACACCCACGAGCTCACCATCCAGACCTTGTACATCTTGGCTCAGAGATGTCGCAGCCACCCTCGCAACCACGGCTACTGGCTCGACTACTACCTGCAGATCATCACTGCACTCAACAAAGACTCTGATGTCTGCCACAAGGACGCTCTTGACGCCATGCTGGTAGTTACTGTCACCTACTGGGAAGATCGCAGGTATGCGGAGGCTGTGACCTTCTACGGAGTCTTGTGGAACACCTTCGTTCGTCAGACCAAGCAGCATAAGGTCTTCACCGACGTCAAGTTCGTCGAGACTCTATACGAGCGATACTACCAGTGCCTGGAGGAGACCAAGGCCAACTGGTCTGAGCTCTACAATGTTACCAAGCAGTACCGCGAGACTGCCATTGCCGTCTTTGGTGCTGAGTCGACTACTGCTGTCAACGCTACCCTTGCGCTTGCTCAGGTTGCCCAAAGCAGCGAGGCGCACATGTCCGAGGCTATCGCGCTCTACGAGGCTGTCCAACAGTCCGGCAAGCAGGTTACGACCACCACCAGCACCACTGAGATCAACCAAGCCTTGTCGTCTCTTTACGTCAAGCAGATGCACTCTTCGCTGTCTAGCAATATGAAGGCTGAGACTGTACAGCGTGCTCTGAGCATGTCTGAGTCGCAGTTCCAGCAATCTACCCGCGAGAACGGCTACAGCCACGAGTCCTCGCTCACTAGCTTGAGAGAGCTTGCATCTTTGTACTCGCGCCAGCAGAAGTCGGACGTTGCGGTTAAGCAGATCTCAAAGGCTGTTTCTGAGATTGTTTCCAAGGAGACTTCGTCGCAGAAGCAGATTGAGTCGGCCAAGTCTATTGCCGCGACCTTCCAGGCCATCGAGCAGACCAGCACTGCACATGCCATGGTTCAAGAGCTTCACCGTCAGATCTGCGCCAAGGATGCTCGCAACGCTTCCAAGTGGTCGTTCGACTTGACAAAGAGCAGCCGCACCGCCATTGCCTTCCTGGCGTCTCTCCAGTATAACCTGCGCAGGGACCTCAGCATTGGCTTCTCGGAGATCTACGCTGATCTGACTATGGAGTACATCTACTGGGTGCAGTTCCACTCGACTCTGGACAACAACGAGAGCCTTACCAACATCTTGCTCGCTGCCGCCCCTCTCCGCTACTTCTTGCGCCGCAACGATCAACAAGACATGATCACGGTTGTCGAGGAGCAGGCCGTTGGTCTGTTCGTCAAGCGCGACGCCCAGGACCTCAAGGACTTCAGCAAGGAGTCGCCACGCATCTTCATCATTGGCATTCTTGACCATCTCGGCCACGGACGCAACAAGAACTTCAACCGCGCCGTCATCCTCTCCAGCAACGAGAGCGTCGCCAAGCTCACCAAGGCGAAGAAGTTCCACGAGGCGTACGACATCGCTAACCTCGGATTCCTCTACGCCCGCAAGCATGACGGTTACAACGGTCCTCGTGCTATCAGCATGGGCTTCAAGCTCGCTTCTCTGCTCGTCGGCCGCGACGGTGAGAAGTGCCCCGACGCTACTCTCCGCAAGAAGATGCTGGACCTCTCCAACCGCATCGTCAAGCAGATCTTCGAGATTTGCAAGACCCTCAAGATCAACTTCGCTCAAGTCCAGCTCTACGAGTTGAGCCACCTGTCCGCTCTACTTGGCGAACAGGAAGACTACGAGACTCTCGAGTGGCTCCTCACCACTCTCTGGCAAACCCGCGATGCCCAGCGCTCATGGCCCGCCGAAGTCCTGCTCAACCTTGGCCGCCGTCTCATCTGTGCCCGCTACCTGGCGAACCACCAAGTCAAAGCCATCCGCCTTGCCGAAGACATCGCATACAACATGCGCCGTGCGCACGGTCCCCGCGCGCCCATCACCATCGAGACCTACGAGCTTCTCGCCCAGCTCTACACCTCCACCGGCCACGCCTACCAGGCTCAAGCCGCCAAGGGCGAGAAGACCGCCAGCCTCGCAGCCGACTACTTCAAGAAGGCCATCAGCGTCCACGAAGACATCCTCCGTGTCCTCGTCAACGACCAGACCTCTGCGTCCAACGACTCCGACGACGAAGACGACACCACCGCCGAGCTCCTCGCCCGTGAAGGCGTCAACGTTAAGAACTCACCCAACTCACCTCGTCCTGCGGCCGTCGACTCAAACACACTCGACAAGTCCGCCACAGCGCTCAAGCACCTGCACCTTCTCAAGTTGGCGTACCAGCGCTACGGCGGCTGGCCCAAGAGCTACAACGAGTACGAACACCTTAATGCTCAGCTCTTCCGCGTGTTTGGCGCGGAGGCCAAGTGGAAGGGTGTTGAGGGCACCGAGAAGTGGGATGCGAAGACCTTTGGTGCTGGCAAGGCGGAGAGCCAGGAGGGCGGCTTCCGCGGTATTGCCGACTGGAGCCTTGGCAGTGATGATTTGGTCTCCATTGGCCATGGACATGGTCAGGGACAGCATGGGGCTATGGTTGGCAATGGTGTTGTTGCTCCGCTCAAGACTCACATTGACTACTAAGGGATTGCATTTGGTCTGTTTTGATTAGCGAGTTTTGATCGTTGTTCGAAAGCTCACACATTTCCTTGAGTCATGTAGCTGGTGATGGAAGAGGTTTTGCTTGTTTCGATCAACAGGTTTTGATCGTGTTTTACAAAAGTTCACACTTTTCTTTCTTTGTGTCAGTTAGGTCGTTGGTAATAGTAGTTTTATAGCGTTTCTGAATTGATTGTTCTTCTTCACATCTCTTCCATTGGTCCTGTGACACTTACCTAGATACATGGGCATTTCAAGGGTTTCTCTATCCACTGAATTTCCTTCTCTGCATGGCCTAATCTTTGCTCAACAACTCCGCAATCGAAGCTGCTGTAGCGTTATGAATTGGGAAGGTAGGATGCAACTCGTTAAGCCACAAGTACTCGTTAACTGGATACTCGCACGAAGCGTCTTTAGTATACCAATCCGGCGTCCCACTATTGATCTGTTAGTAATGCTCTCTTCGATCTCCATCTAGGACTTACTTCATATACGCCGCACAGTAGCCCGTAACATTCTTCAATCCGGCCGTTTGCTCATAACTTGCGGGATCCTCAATAACCTTGTTGAACAGCCCCCACGTATCATGCACAAACACCTTCGTGCCCGTGTGATTCGCCTGGAAAGACGCTACCATGTCCTCAAGCCTCTTATTCCAATCTAAAATAACCTTCCCCTCGTTTTCCACCGCGTAACCGCCATCATCCTGGTTGAGCGTCAACGGCGCAAGATTCACAGGCGGCACGCTCAGGAACAAGAAGTTGCGCGCCCCAGTTTCGTACACGTCGTTGAGAAGGTCGGCATAGACGGAGAAGATGGTGTCGTAGAGCGTGGCGTTGTTGAGCCACCAGCTGTTTCCTACGTCGTTGATGCCGATGAAGAAGGCGAAGAGGGAGGAGGAAGACGTCCAGGGTGCAGTCGCGGGGTGCGAACCGTAGGTAGGCATGAATTCATTGCGGACTTGGTTCTTCATGCTGATGACTGTGGGGGCGTATGGTGTCACGAGGTCGGAGTCAACAGTAGCACCACCGTAGGCCATGTTATAGGTGAGTAGGTCGCTGGCATTGTAGGTTGTAGAGAGGAAGCCGACCCAGTTGGGACCGTTGGAGGACGTGTAGCCGGGGTACGCCGGGTTGCCGAATGGGTTTGAGGCGCTGGGTTGTGTCCCGCTCACGTCGAAGCCGGTTTGTGTGTAGGAATCACCGAAGACGAAGAGCTGTTTTACGTTCGCCCAGCCGGACCATGATGAACTGTTTGTGTATGGAGCTGCGAGTGTGGTAGTTGCTAGAGATAGCGCGAGGGTAATTGACTTGACCATTGTGCTATCTTTGTTCGCAATTCAGGTAGAATGAGAACAGTGAAGAGGTAGTTACTGAAAAGAACGGCATGGTAAGTATAACAAGGAAAGAATTATACCAGTACCCAACTAATCCGGGTTTCCGGACCAGACGATCTACAGGTGCGAACCAGGTAAATTACTTGAGATTGCTTGACGTATGCGAATACCCCACATATTGGAACTAGAGCGCATACGACACTGTATCGCTCGCGGAATAATTTTGGAAAGGCATCATGATGCACTAGAGGGCTGCGCGTGAGTAGTACGCGTAGGAATGCTGGTTCGGAAGCCGAAGGGACATGCCGCTCCGTGATGGAACGGGCATAGCGGGGGACGATTAGCATCCTCACCGACGTGGTTTGGTTTCGATGTCGAGGTTCTTCATCTTCAGATTACTGATCTGATTTGATGTGAAACACGTGCGATGTTTGTGCATGGGCTTACCTTTAAAATGGGGTGGCTGGTGGAAACTTCTGGCGCAGAGGACGTGCGCCAGGCGTTGTAAGGTATAGGCGACAATGTCAGTGGCGCAGCGTTGATGATCCTCGAAGATTCAAGCTCAAATAGGAGAGAGTACGTGAGATGATTTGTTCTCTCGGGGTATGCAGACACGCTGTGGTGTGCGTGACCGAGATCTTGTCAGCGGTAACGCAGCTAGAGGGCCGTCATACCATCTCAGACGGCAATACTTTGTACATCGAGCAAAGATGAGTGCAAAAGTTCCAGGAGAGAAAGGAAGGGATCATATATGAAAGCACCTGGTGATGTGGTTGTTTTTGCGAGGATTGTTGTGAAGGCGGGGTGTCGCAGGTCCTCTCGTTCGGGGCTCGTATATACGTATAGCGCTACGACTGGGGCGTACGTCGTACCGACTAGCGGACCGTTGTCACGAGATCCAGAAGCCAGAAAGCATTCGGCCATAGTCAGGTATGATATCAGTCGGATCAAGCGGAATGGCGGGAGTCGGAAAGCAGGAAAACAGGCATCGGCCGAAGCAGGACGCACGTTGGGAATGCGGCAAAGGTCGTGCGCGCAGCGAGGACCTACTTTCCGATGCTGCTGTCGCATGCGAAACAGGATAGAAGAAGAACGGATAATCAGCGCAAACTGTGTGGCTGGAAAGCCGGTCAGTCGAGTAGCTCAAAGGGGGAATCGGGACAAGAATAACCTTGGAAAAGGCGTGGCTGAGGAAAAGATGGCGTAAGTAAGGCTGAAGACCCTGGCTACCAGCCGCCCGCGTAGACCGCCCGCGTCGACACATGTCATCCAAGCATTGGAACATCTTCTGCCCGTTGCGCTACATTTTTTCGCATAGCTGTGACAAAGAAGCAACTTGCTATTTCTCCTTAGTACTCTCTAGTAATCTGGAGACAGAAAAGGGTCAAATTACCCTCAGATCGGCGCTCTACTATTCGGCTTTCGCAGTCATCCGCATTCCGACTCGCGAACATCGTCACCAGCACACCGTGAAGCTGACAAGTCACCGAACACCCGCCCGACCCTTAGCAATCCGACTCCCGAAATGCCCGGCTGCTAGGAAACATCGTCACCGTCGATCCCTGCATTCGCTCGACCACCAGACATTTATACACACTTGCGCTCCAGGCCTGCAAACCCCGCGTATTTGCTTGTACCAAGATCCACCATCACGACAACATACGATTAAGAGAAGTTGTAGTAGCAGAGTCTAATCATGGCGGGAATGGAGAACATCGAGGTGCATAGCAAGGTATGTACAGCGTCTACGTCGCGCTTCCTCGCTGACTGAAGGCAGTCGTACCTGGTAAGATGGGTCAATGTCTCGTCAGGTCACACCATCTCCTGGAGTGTCCAACCACACAAGAAGTCGCTCAACTTCGGCATCTTCAAGCATCCCGGGACAGCTACCGGCGCAACTCCACAGCTGCCCTCCTCTGCCATCGTCGAATCCGGACCCGGCACGCCTACCCTCGAACCACCTACAACACGCGGACGCGGAGCTTCGACGTCGCGAAATGACAGAACAGTTGTGTTAGATAAGCTGGCGGCCATCGGGCTGAGGCAGGTGCATTGGCATGGGAAATGCGAGGCCGATTTGGTATCCATGGGCACATACGACGTGCCACCAGGCGAGGGTGGCATGTATGGACTGGTCTTTGACAACACCTTTTCCAAGACCGTGTCAAAAACAGCCACCTTCGTCCTCATGACATATCCGACTAATGCGGCGCCCAAGTCTGGTCACCACATGCACTACGCGCAGGCCATGGCGGGCGCGAGCACCACCAGCCTCCCGAAATCAAGCCCCTCCATGGGCCCCATCGAATCCTCCGAATCCTTACCGCAAGCCTACGCTGAGCGGCCGAAATCACAATACGGGCAGAAACAAGGCAGTCTGTCCGGCTCCTCGTTCCTCACAGGAGTGCTGCAGAAGAAGAGGAGAAAGAGGAACCAGGGCTATGCCAGGAGATTCTTCTCCTTGGACTTCACATCCTCAACGCTCTCATACTATCGGAACGACCATTCCTCTGCATTGCGAGGAGCCATACCTTTGTCACTAGCGGCTGTGGGCGCGAACGAGGAGACGCGAGAGATATCCGTCGATTCTGGCGCGGAGATCTGGCAGTTGCGAGCAAACAATGAGAAGGACTTCCAGATGTGGAAAAACGCGCTCGATCGCGCCTCAAGAACGGCTTCAGATAGAGGGGCGGTCGCTTCACCAACCCTGCAAATCAAGGACAGCCCATACCAGAGCCTCCCGCACGTCCTGAATTCGGCCGAAGAGAACGAATGGGCAAGAGTCGAGGCATTAGTTGGCAGAGTCTCTGGTACACGAGATGCAGTACGGAGGTTGGCACAAGATACCGATCCCAAGTACAACGCATCATCGGCGATGAGCGTCAGAAACATGGGTGATAGTCTCTCCCCAACGCCGTCCAACGACGAGGCGGGTGACTACTTCCCAGAACAAAAGGCCCCCGAGAAGATGGCTTTCTGGAAGCGCAAACCGAGCAGTTCCGGCGCTCAAAGTCCGTCCGGCATTTTCAAGAGGAGTGTGTCAGCGCAAGTAGGTGTTGCATCGCCTGGAGCCGTCCCTCCTGGTGCTGCCTCGAATCCGGCAGGCAATGGCACGCTTGCTGTACCCAAACGCAATGGACGCGCCAGCACTATGATGAGCTCCTCAAGCCATACACATGAGGAGAGCGTCCATGACAACTGCATGGCTCTACTCCGGGACCTAGACTCTGTTGTTAGGGACTTTGCTGATTTGATTAGCGAGAGCAAACAAAGACGGATGCCCCCAGCCGCACCTCTCTCTGCCGTAGGATCACGGCACAGCTTTGACTCAGTAGCCGAGTCTGTAGATGAGTTCTTCGACGCTCCAGATGGCGATGCGAGCAAGTCGCAGCTTCTGACTATCCGCCGTGACAGTCAAGAGGATAGCCGTGAACGTGAGCAGTCACCAGATGCCGATTCAGATGGCGAGTCGGAGTCTTCTTCGGAGAATGGCAGTGTGGGAATGCTGGATCGACCTCGCATGTCGCGAGAAACCACTCCAGCACTCTTCCCCACACGTCCCAAGTCCCTCACACCTCTGCCACTTGAGCCTGTAAAACGTCGGGGCACAGTTCCGGCCCCGAAGGTTCAACCCCCGAGTCTCATCGCGTTCTTCAGAAAGAATGTCGGCAAAGACTTGTCAACCATCGCCATGCCGGTCTCAGCCAACGAGCCCACATCCGCGCTGCAACGACTAGCAGAACAACTAGAATACAGCGAGCTGCTCGACGCCGCAGTAACCGCAACCCCAGAAAATGGCGAACGTCTCGCCTACATGGCCGCCTTCGCCATCTCAGCCTTCAGCAACGCCCGCGTCAAAGACCGCGCCATCCGCAAGCCCTTCAACCCCATGCTAGGCGAAACCTACGAACTAGTCCGCGAAGACAAAGGTTTCCGCTTCTTCGCGGAAAAAGTCGTCCACCGCCCCGTCCGCATGGCCTGCCAAGCCGAAGCCTCCGAATGGACATTCGTGCAATCCCCTACGCCCATGCAAAAGTTCTGGGGCAAGAGCGCCGAAATCAACACCGAAGGCCGCGTTCGCATCTTCCTCCACGCCTCAGGCGAACACTACTCCTGGACGCTCGCCACATCCTACCTGCGCAACGTCATCGCGGGTGAAAAGTACCTCGAGCCCTCCGGCACCATGACCATCATCTCCGAAACGACAGGCGCAAAAGCCGTGTGCACATTCAAAGCCGGCGGCATGTTCGCCGGCCGCTCAGAAGAAGTCTCCGTCCAGGTCTTCGACGGCACGGGTTCCGTGCTGCCCATGGGTCTGACAGGGAAATGGACATCAGACCTCCAACTCACTTCAGCCGGTCAACCCACCGGAAAAACAATCTGGAAAACAGGTGACCTGGTTGATAAAGCAGAGAAACACTACGGTCTTACCACTTTCGCTGCTGCACTCAATCAAGTCACGTCTATCGAGCAAGATCACATGGCACCCACTGATTCCCGTTTGCGACCTGATCAGCGGGCCCTCGAAGACGGTGATGTGGACAAGGCCGAGGCGTTGAAGGCGAGATTGGAAGAGAGACAGCGTAGTCGCAGGCGTGTGCTCGAGGAACATGGTCAGGAGTGGCAGCCTAGGTGGTTTACCAAGGTGGGTGCTGTGGAGGCGGCGGCGCTGGGCGACGAGGAGGTTTGGAGGCTCAAGGGCGGAAAGGACGGGTATTGGGAGTGTAGGGAACGGGGCGATTTCGGGGATGTGGAACAGGTTTTTGAGACGTAGAGGGGATTATGTAGTAAGATTAGGGGGAGAGCGTTGTAAAATCTACAAGGTTTTCTACAACAAGCTTCGTTCCAAGATGTCGTGACTGCTTTTGACATGTCGTGACATGGCATGAGCGTACGAGCTGATCTCGAAAATAAAGTTCTTTGGTATATAATACTAATTTGTGAATGAATACCAGATATCGGCACGAAAAGAACATGGATACCAAGACATCCCCATCCACCTATGGAGTCTCAAGCAACCGGCAACCTCAAACACCACGCAATGCTAAGAACCCAAAACATTCAAGCTTTTGGTGTCTTCGTCTATAATAGAAAAGGTCAAGCTGGAAAAGAAGGCAAGCCAAAGCCCAACACTAGCACCATACCAAACCGAGTCATACGCATGACAGGCAGCTCAAATCTCAATATCCATGCCAATATCCATACTAGCAATGATATCGTCGTCCATCTTCGGCTTCCTAAACGTCGGCAGTCCTTTCCGCTCCGTCTTCTTCTTCTGCGGCTGCTGCGGGTTGGGCGTGCTCGCTCTGCTGGAGCCATCGCCATCGAACAGCGCATCGACATCAAGGTTGTTACTCTTCTTGAGCGCCTCTTCTTCCTGCGCCTTGCGGGCTTCTTCTTCGGCCTTGCGCCTAGCAAGTTCCTTCTTCTGCTCCATCTTCTTCTGGCGCTGTTGGTCGAATTGAGCTTTGCGGACGCGCTCGGCTTCCTGGATGCGATTCTTGCGGTTCAGTTCGGCGATGCGGGCCGCGGCTGTTTCTGATTGCGTTGCGATCTTGGGCTGGGCGTCGGCATTGGGGCGGTTGAGGAGATGGGCGTACTTCTTGGACTTGGCGATGCGCGCGCTAATGTCGGCGTCGGTCCAGTGGTGGTTTTGGAGCGCCTTGAGGTCGTCGTATTTCCGCTGGAGGAAGGATTGTGTGGGGACCTTGGCGTTGGTCTCTATGAGAGATTGCCGGTAGATGTCGAGGTCGTTCTCGGTGAAGCGTTGGTTGGACATGAATTGGAACTGGTAGTCCTTCTTGACGGAGCCGTGTTGCGCAATAACGTACTGGTCAGTCGCGACGCGCTTACCGTCCTTGCCGTCAAAAACGTATGGTTTGCCAGCTGAGAAGCCTGCATAGCATGTTAGCATAGTCTGTGATAAAGCTGGTGTCGTGCGTACCCTTGATTTGCGCCATCTTGTATAGTGTCCGCCGTTGCGCGTCCTGGCCAACGCCCACACGTCCAAATGCGCCAGTCAGAGCCTCTTCGAAGCCTGGGTGGAAGCAGACTTCTGAGAAGAATCCTCGACCAACACGAACCGACTCGAAATCGCGTAGAGTGGCAGGCAGCTCTTCGCGGGCCTTCTCTGGTGCCCGGTCGTCCCACTCGACGTCGCTCTCACCATCAGCGTCGACATCTGAGCCACCGTCACGATCTCCCGAGCTGGACCGCCTGCGGCCACTGCGTCGGTCGTCGTTCCGCTGTCGTTGCTGGCCACGCTGCTCTCGCTCACGCTTGTATGCCTCGAGCTTCTCGTTCTTCCGCGGTTGTACCTTGGGGCGAGTGCTCCTGCGCTCGTCGGCGTCCTCGGAATCAGCCTTGCGCTTCCTGTCGTTCTGGACGTTGGCGGCGCGCCTGGCGAGCTCGGCCTTGAAGTTGGCGCTGCTCATCTCCTCGGCGCGCTGACCGAGGATCTCTTCCCGCTCCAGCTGCGATAGGCCAAGGATGCGGCGCTTGTCTGATTCGTCGATGTACTTGCCCTCTAGGGGGTAAGGGACGTCTGCGGAGCGCTCTGGTACGTCATCGTCGCGATCTGAATCCGACTCGTCCATGGCGTCGGATCCTAACGAGTTTGGCGATGAGGCTGCGGGCGACGAGCTACGTGGAGTCAGCGCCATGTTGCGGTAGGGGGTTGAGCGATCGGTGGAGAGTAGAGCGGAGCGGAGAGTGGAAGTAGAAGCGAGGGAAAGTAGCGAGGCAGAGGCAGAGGAGGAGAATGATAGGTGAGAGATGGTACTCACGCCTCGCCTTCTTCGACGTCTGCATCTTCGTCACCGCCAGCGAGGGCGAAGAGCTCGTCGTCGATATCATCGGCCGACATGTTGCAAGGGATTGGCGAGGATTTCGCGATAAATCCTGGATCGTGGAGGCGAGTTGGAGACGGACCCGGTGTCGCGAAGGGTGCCGTGAGTGAGTTTGGGCGTGATTAGGGGGGGGAAGAGGATGAAAGAAGAACGTGGGAAGTCCAAAGGTCGGGGAAACGCTCGTTGCGCTCAGGCCATGCCGCGTTGAAAAGTGGGTCGTGTTAGCGTGCCTTGAGCGCATCATACCTCACCCGCCTATTGTCCGACTCTCTCAATTCGAGAACAATAGCATCTGTCCTTCACTCGTATTGTACAATAGCCCAGCCTAGAACATGTCCCCCGTCTTGCTCTCACCGCGGGCATTATCGCGCAACGTGGCCCGTCGCAGCCTCCAATACCCTGTGCTCGACTTTCTTGCCCCCAGTACCACATGCGCACCACGTCAAACGTCACGCCTGGCCAGCACCATCTCCGCACCGCAACCCCCGCCTTCACAGCCCGACTCCGCGCAATCACCGCCTTCACTACAAACGCAGAGGAATGGCAAACCCATACGGCCGCTCACGCAGCAGCAGCAGGAGTTCCTCTCTTCCGCGCTGCGAGTGAACCAGACGGGTGAACTCGCCGCCATCCTCATCTACGCTGCCCAATCGCCCGTCCTCACACGGTCACACCCGCACTTGCGACCGCTGATGAAACACATGTACGACCAAGAAGCCGGCCACTACAAGTTCTTCAACGAGGTCATATCCAAGCACCGCATACGACCTACCGCAATGACGCCCATATGGACCGCTGCGGCGAGCATGCTCGGGTGGTCGACCGCTGTCATGGGCCGCGAGGCCGCCATGGCATGCACAGAGGCCGTCGAGACAGAGATTGGTAACCACTACAATGAGCAGGTACGCGTGCTGCTAGACTGGGCGAACAAGTGCGAGGAGCGGGGTGAGAGCCTGGGGCCCGAGCTGGACAAGTTGGTGGTTGAATTGCGGCGGATTAGAGATGAAGAGCTAGAGCATCTGGACCATGCGGTGGAGAATGATGCCAAGAGCGCGAAGCCATATGATCTGCTGAATGAAGTTATAAGAGGAGGATGTAGAGGCGCCATCTGGGTGAGTGAACGCGTATAGTGTGATGTCATGACTGCAATGATACCTGTATATACTGTAACATATCAGACATGTAAGCTTAGCTACAGAATCGACTGTCGTATTTCAGGTGAGGGGATCATCGTGCTGTTGGTATTCCTTCCTTTACCCTGTTCGTCCTCAAGTCAAGAACCTCACACAGTTGGTACTCGATCTCCTCGCTTTTACATGTCAGTCTCTTCTCTTGCTTCATGTCATTGTCAGTGTTGTTGCTGGTTCATGTCTCTGCACACCCCACAGTCAGTCAACCGCGCGGCGTTCGCTACTTCTCCCTCTCACTTTCACCCCAACTCCCACTCCGCCAAAACACGCCCTCACAATCACAACAACGCTGCCACCACCCTCTTCAACCCCCAATCAATCCTACTTACTTTAATCCCTACCTCTCTCTCTTCTATCCCTAATACATACCACTTAATTCAACAATTTTCCTTCAAAACAAGTCTCTGGCACAACACAAGAAACTGCCACCCCAACTCACGTTGGGTTAGAGGTTCGATCCCTCTGAGCGACGCAAACAGATGAGAGATTTCATCCCCTTAGGGGCGTCGGGGTACATATACCTCTGCTAGGCTTGCCTAGCAAGTATATGTGCTCTGAGCTGCATCCGGCCAAGGGACGCCTTGACCGGATGTGCTCGAGTAACGTTTGAGAGTGAATCATCGCATCCCGCGGAGGCAGGGGCGGGTGCCTACGATCTGTTTTTTTTTGCCGAGTTTTTTTTAAGTAGGGGAAAGAAGAAGGTAAGAATCTGCGGTCGAGGTAAGTTTAGAAGAGGTAGAGAAGTAGCTGCATCCTTGTATAGATAAAAGGCTACAGCGAAGTGATGGCTATCTAGCATACTATATAATATCTACCACCACGCGCGTACACGCCAAAAAGAATCCGCCTTCGCAACACCTACTCAAACCCACCCCCAAGATCACTAAGCACACTCCTCATCCCCTGCTTCCTCCCACCCTCAACCTTCTTCCTCAGCGCCTCCTTCCTCTTCCCCTCCTTCTTCTCTAGCAACGCCCTCCGCTCCGCCTCCCTTGCCTGAGCATGGATGTTGCTCCTCCCCGTACCTCCTCTCCTCACCCCACTCTCCTTCGGCGCACTGCTGCCCGCGGACCGCTCGCTACTCACAGACAGATTACTAGTTGCCTGGCGTATGAGCGACGGGATGCGGAACCCTGGTGTTGCCGCTGCGCGTGATGGAGCATGGAAAGCGAGACTGGTGTCTGCGCTTACAGACTCTTCGACTGTGGATTGCCGGCTTAGCGTTAGGCGGTCGATGATGGGTTTGCGCGATGCGGAGACGAAGGCGGGTTCGTGGTCGTCCTCTGCGTCGGAGAGCTGCGAGTCTGGGATTACGATGCGTGGGTCTTCGATGAGCTCTAAGATGGAGTCTCTGACGTCGTCGGCGGTGAGGGGCTTGCGTGCGAGGCTTTCGGATGCCGTTGTACGGCGCATGTGTGGGGGCGGTCGGTTCTCTTTCTGTGAATCTTGAGACTTGCGCTTGAGTGGGCTTGTTGGTGCTGATAGGTTTTGGGAGGCGGCCTGGGAGTCTGGGACGGCGATGTCGTCGCCTTGTACTTCCTCTTGCGACTGCGACTGCGACTGCGACTGCGACTCGTTCATGTCTGACTCCTTCTCAGGCATGTTGAGGTAGTCGTACTCCCCTTCGTCGTCGAAGTCAGCTAGTGTCTTGAAGAAGGCCTTCTTCTTGTCGTCGTCGGCGAGTGCCTTGACCTTCTGATCCTGTAGTAAAGCGTTAGTCTGCTTTTGGAAAGCAGCGCGCTTCTTGCGCTGGCGCAACTCGGCCTCGTCTTCGGAATCAGACATGTCGAAGCCGTCATAGCCGCCACCACCTCTGCGAAGGCCACCCTTCCTCTGCATCTTCTTGTAGAGCTCAGCGAGATGCTTTTCGTCATCCTTCTTGGTCTTGTCACTGCTTTAAATTAGTATTGACATAACATGGAATTAAAATCTGAACTTACGCGTAGAAAGCGGCAATCTGGCGCTCGTTGACTTTGACGTCGTTGTGGTCGATCATGTCTTTGAGATCTTCGTCTTCCTCGCCCTCCTCATCATCACTAGCTCCTCCAAGCCCGGCGTATTCGTCCTCAGACTCCTCGGCTTGTTCCATAACGGCTTCCCTTGCCATACTCTTCTTCTTGTCGAATTCTTCAGCCGCCTTGGCCTTCTTAACTGCTTGCTGCATCTTCACAAAAGCATCTTTGCTAAGCTTAGGGGGGCGTTGAATGTCGTCTTCGCTCTCTTCCTCCTCAGCGTCGATCAAGTCGTCTTCAACGTCGGAGAGCTCAACAGCAGCCTCTCGCCGTCCACGCTGAAGCTTGCCCTTCTGCTTGATTGGCGACTCAGCAATAGGCACCATGACGGTATCGGTCGTTGATGGTGGCGGCGCAAGGCCTGCTGGTGACCGAGAGAAGGAGAAGCCTGCATCCTGTGTTGGCTCAAAGTCCTCAACCTGTGTCCGCGAGAACGTGGGGGAAGTCCTGACAACTTGGCTGATCCCCATGCTGAATTGAGACTCGTCACCAGTCTGTGTCTGCTTCTGCGGCGACATCAAAGTCTGGCTGTTGGGGACTACAAACTCTGAAGCTTGGCTGAAGTTTGCGGCGGGTTGGGTATCGGGCAGGCTTCGCAGGAACTCTAAAGAGTCTTGTTCAGTGTTGATGGCGGCAGTGGGTTGGGAGTCAGACTCCAACTCGGCCATGGTGCCTGCAAACATCTGTGTGAGGCCTATGCCGGTGTTGGCGTTGCCGAACCCAAAGGCGGCCATTGCGTCGGTTTGAGTTGCTGGTTGAGTGGGTGTGGCAGGCCGAGGGGCCTCTGCATCGTCCTCATCGTCCTCATCAACGACTCGGTTGCGGGCACGATTGATGGTTTGCCGTCGGACAGGCGCGACCGCCTCGTCGTCTTCCATGTCGACATCCTCGTTGACGTTCTGGGCCTGTACTGTCTCCTCTGGCTCATCATCCTCGTCAACCATTCCGTTGACGAGAGGATTGTCTTCACCATCGTCTTCCATTGGCTCATCTTCTGAACCCGATAGCACGACCTCGGCTTCTTCTTGATCATCGTCTTCTCCTTGGCTGGCGTCCTCCTCGCCACTACCGACATAGTCGCCGTCTTCATCATCGCTGGAGGGAAGATCATCGATGGTCTCGCCGTTCTTCTTCGCCTCCTTCCTCTCCATCTTCGCGAGCTCAAGGTCCTCCTGCCTTTGCTTCTCCAGCATTGCTACCATGTCGTCGATCTCCTCTTGGCGCTTCTCCCTCTCCTCTTCGGTCTCAGGGTTGTGGCCTCGCTTGATCAGGTCGGCTATTCTCTCTTCTTTGGCTTTCGCAGTCTGCTGGCGAGCCTTCTGAGCTAGGGCGAACTCCATCTCACCACGAGTCACTATTTTCTGTCCCTTCTTGCCCTTTGGTGGTGACTTGACCAACTGAGCGAGAGCACGAAGATGTACTAATGAGCCTGCCTCGTTGTCCTTCTTTGTGGGTAATCGGTCAAAGACGGGGAATCGGCTCTTGGGCTGTGCCACCTTTGCATCATCGTCCGAGTCCGAAAGTTCCACCATGTCATTGTCGGAAGACTTTTTGGTATCCACCGCCGCTGTATGCACTGTGACTGGCTCTGCCTGCTTCATCCAAGGATGTACCGGCAAGTGTTGGAACTCGGGTGCTCGCCCTTTGCCCTTGTCGACCCTCGCGGGCTCGGGTGGCTGAATGTTGCTTTCGGGTGCTGTGGTAGGTGTTTGCTGATCCAAGGGAGCACCCTTCTCTTCCGTAGCATTCTGTCTTGGGGGACTCGTTGGTGGCGTGTCGTGGATTTGGTTGGCCTCTGCATCAGACGATGCAAGTGCTGAGCTGGCCTCCGGCGTTGGGAGAGTTACGACTTCGGCGTTAGGCGCTTGATAGTTGAACTTCTTGAACAGATCCTGGGTCGTGAAGCGCTTCTTTGTCTTGGCTTGGTGGGTAAGCTGCATGTTACGGCTTA